TTATTCTCGTGCGCCATTTGTTTCCCACAGACGGCGACCCTTTTATCATCCTACAACAATTCGGGTTTCGAGCCAAACACTCGTGCCCCCAGCAAGTTCACCGCATAGTGGAATACATCCTCAGCGGTTTTTATCTTCGTCGTCAAAAAACCATCGCAGTCTTCTTTGACATTGCCAAGGCTTTCGACAGAGTCTGGCACGAGGGTCTTGTCTACAAACTGTATGACTTAGGCCTCCCGGACCGTCTCGTTCGCCTTGTAGCCTCCTATCTGAAGGATCGTACCTTTCGCTTTAGACACGAAGACACGCTATCCTCCACTCGTCAAATAAAAGCCGGTGTCCCTCAAGGCTCTCTGCTTGCTCCCCTTCTGTATATACTATTCACCAACGACATCCCTATCCCGTCTAATGGTGTTAAACTAGCCCTCTTTGCAGATGACACAGCCCTTTACTCTAAAGGCAACTCACTACCACAGATTCGGAACAAGATCCAAAAGTCAGTAAGCGACTTAGGAGCTTGGTTCCAAAAACGGTGTATCGATGTAAACCCGGAGAAAAGCTCCGCCGTTTGCTTCGAATATAAACGATGTCGTCTCACCACCACTCCACCAATCAGGATGTTTAGGAACCCCTGTCCCATGGCAAACTAAAGCCAAATACTTAGGCGTCACGCTTGATGCAAGGCTCACTTTCGAGCCCCATATCAAGAAGGTTGCTCGCACCGCACGATTTTACATGGGTAGGCTCAACAGCATGTTGGGCAGACACAGTAAAATGTCCCTCCGCAATAGGCGAACCCTATATAAGGTCTGCATACGACCTGTCATGACCTACGCGGCCCCCATTTTCGCACATGCTAAGCCCAAAGCTATAAATGAACTTCAAATAGTCCAAAATCTATTCTGTCGTAGGGCCACTAACTCGCCCTATTATGTCCGTAATGCCGACCTACATCGAGACTTAGAGCTCCCAGCAATCCAGCAGTTCCTTAAATCACTCTCTGAGAGATTTTTCAAAGCCTCAGAATCCCACCCAAATCATCTCATTCGTGAGACAGCTGCGTATGCAGCCCCTATCCACACTCGCTATAGTGTGCGCAGACCGAGAAACTCTCTCTCGGACCCCCCCCCAACAAGCTTTCGTATGACCTGAACTGCCTCCTGGCGGCTCAGGCCGAGCCTACATAACACATCCTTTAATCTGCCTTAGTTAGGCACTCTTCTAAGCGGCTTTTCGCCGCTTGCGCCCTCCTTTCTGGCAAGGAGGGTCGCGTTCGTATACGGCTTAGAGATCTCTAGTCAGGTCGTTAAGCCAATTCCTAAAAGGTTGGGTTTAGTGGGTAAAAGTCACCACATAACCACGCAGCCGGCTCCGTGGTATGCTATGAGCATTCCCAACCTCCCTCCCCCGCTTTCCGGAGGGTTGCCCATACTTGCTTCGGGCGCAAAAAAAATGCCCGCGCGTAGTCGGTGAGCGGCGGCGGCGTGGGACACAGCTCCGGAACAGCAAGAAGAAGCGAGCTGCGCGTTGAAGAAACGGCTCACAATTGGTCGACGGATACGTGACGATAACGGTGTTTGAAGACAATGTGGCGCTGAATGATATTTGCGGCTGCTTCTTGTTTCTTTATAAGAACGTCAAATTATCTATATGCAGTCCGCAGTATCTCAGTAGCCGGGGTTAGTTAGGAAATAAATGTTTTTTATCTTCGCCTTCCGCGTTATGGTAGTAGCAGAGTATATATTATTTATTCCCGTTTAGGTTTGAGTAGTCTGGCTGCTACATATCCTTTACTGTCCAGTACGTCACCTTGTCTTACGCCTCTCTGCGGTTGAGTAGGTTTTTTACTCTGGTTCTGTACTCGGATAGCCCTCGTAGCCCTACTGTAAATTCACTTTAGCGATCCGATATACCGACAGTCAACTTGTTGAAAATACCGATTATTTATGGGAACATTTTAGTATGAAGTCTTTCTCATACATAATTATACGTGAAAATTCCTAATATATCTGAACTATAAAACTGAAATATTTGTTTTGCATTAGTATTGAATAATATCGTTGTCGCTGAATAGCAGCCGTCAGTAATGTTAAAATGTATGTGCATCAATGGCACAATCAGTTTATTTGAATCTGTTTATTCGTTACTGATGTGACTTTAAACATGTGTCAATAGCGTGAGGAATATTTATAACTTTCAGTTACAAAAACAGCAGTATAAACACTGCTATTTGGCGGCAGAATGGTACGAAGGTACCTACCTACAAAAATTGTAATAAGTTTTATTTAATCACGTTAAAACTACTAATAACTAGGTTCTAATGAAAACCACACTGGCCGTAATCTTTGTTGTATGTATACAACGAAAGCAAATTTACATTTGAAACGAAGCTGGTTGAAGACAAAGCCCGTCTCAATTTTGCACCTGAAATTAATTTGTGCCTGGGATTTGTTTTCAGCTTCCGCTTTAACCACGCCATATTTTAGGTCATATTCTAAAATAAATATTATATAAATACAAATTACAGTTAAAAATATATGCATTTAATTAACACTGACCAATTATGATTAAGAAATACTGAAGTAAATAGTTTCAATTTTGAAAATTAAATTTTATTTCATTTCATGTTCAATTATTTCTTTCATACCAGTGTTTACTGTACAATGTTCAATGACCGTGTAGTGGTCGTGTAAGAAGAACCAATACCTCATGTCATCCCGTGGGTATCTTAAGAGGCGACAGAGAGAAATAAATCAGGAGAGGGCAGTAGCGTCTTCCTTATAACTTAACTATTAAAAATAAAAAACTTTGGTTACCAACCCGATTGCAAATATGCCCCCTATAAGGTAATCTATGAGAGAGGCCTATTATCATGTAACGGTGATGTTTGCTGGAGTATATGACCTTAGTTGTTTTTTAAACAAGTGAAACTGTCAATTGCAATTTTAATATAGATTGAAGTTATGTTATAATTTCTTGGCATAAAAATAATTGATACAAAATAATTTCACAGGTAATTTTGACTTAACACTAATAGACCAGGGTCAAAGCCGTCAAAAATAATAAAAACAAAAAAATGAAACCTATTGAAAAAGAAAGGGAATACCACTAAAATGATAGGAAAAATAAATTACAGGCGAACTGAGGTTGGGAAGGGATAGGGTATTTAAGGGTAAAAATCGGAAAATATCGATTTCCGGCAAAACTACAAGTCCTATCGAAAAAAGTTCAATCGCAAAGTTGTAGATAATAAAAAGATCTACAACTTTTGTATCTATAGTTTTTCTCCATAAGCTCAAAATTCATGTGAAAAATCAAAAAAAACACATTTTTGATTTTTTATTTTTATCTTTTTACAAAAAAATTGTTTTTTTCATGATATTTGGTGAAAAATTACCTCTTTATGTCCCAAACGCACTGTAATTTTGAAGATTTAAAATATTAATTTTTTCACCCTATTTTGACTCGATATCGAAAAAGCACCCTAATTTTCAACCGAAAATTCTCACGTCAAAATATCTGATTTTTCAAAAAGTCGATGAGCTTTTTGTTCGTTGATATCTCTATTTTATGATGGTGTAAAAAAATATACATTACTATTGAAAAAATTTTCAGAAAATGAAAAAAAAAACGAAAAATACTAAAATTCGATATTTTTTTTAAATCTTTATGTACAATTTTGAGGTATTCATTAAAATTTTTACTTTAATTACTCTAAAAACGTTAGGTTCCATGTTAGATTAATGAACAAAAAATTGCAAATCGAAATGTACTACTATAATTAACAACTAAATAAGTTAATAAAGTTAATATTTAATATGACATCTACAAAATTTTGAGAAATTTGTCGAATTTTCTTTAAATTATATGCGTAGATGCCTATTTATTGCTATTTTAAAATTATACCTATATACCTGAGAGACCTTCGGATTTGCCGGAAAAGGAAAGAAAACTATCGTAAATTCATTATTAGACAATCAAAATTTGTCAAATTTGGCTAATATTTAAAAAAAGATGTAATCAAAGAAGATATAAAAAAATGGATTGAAATTAATTAAATCTATTTGTAATAGTGGAGACGAACTGTCCACTATTAACAGACTCCGAGTGGTTTTCTTTAAGGTGGAGAAATGAAACTACTGTTTATAAGCAAAGCGGAGTATGAATTTAGAATGTACTGTCGAATGGGATTCGGAATGGAATATATTTTGCATCAACCTTGCCTATATTTATATGGCTGGCCCACTATTGATTTGCCAATGGTAACAATTAATATTTTGCCTAGCCAATTATATTGCTTATTTTATGACCAATGAAAACTATTTAAAATATACAATTATCTACGTTTCGTTTCCCGGCGTGAGACTTGTTTGTTGTTCACGAAGCTACGTCGCTGGACCGGGCTATATAAGACATGCAGATCGGTGCGCACGCGTAGTCGGCGGGCGGCGGCGGTGTGGAATACAGCTCCGGAACAGCAAGAGGAAACGAACTGCGGCGTTGAAGAAACGGCTCACCATTGGTCGACGGATACGTGACGATAGCGGCGTGTGAAGTCGGTGTGGCGCTGAATGATATTTGCGGCTGCTTCTTGTTTCTTTATAAGAACGTCAAATTATCTATATACAGTCCGCAGTATCTCAGTAGCCAAGAATAATTAGGAAATAAAATGTTTTTTATTTATTCTCGCCTTCCGCGTTATGGTAGCAGCGGAGTATATATTATTAATTCCCGTTTAGGTTTGATTAATCTGGCTGCTACATATTTATAAATGTAAAAAGGATAATATAACACTGAATCAATTAAGATTTCAAAAATATCAATTGGAAAAAATTAAATCATCTTTTATATTGGCAAATCTCCCACCCACAGAAGGTGCAGCAGAACAACATTGTTACAGGGCATATTATCAGCTTCAAACGTGGCTGGGTAATGAATTGACAGCAACAGATTGGGGCTGGAAGCAACATCAACATGGAATTATGCCCAAATTTACAGAAATGGAATTAATTCCGGAAAAATTGCTGAAAACTATTTGCTGCAGCTGTGAAACTGGATGTAATAGTTTAAAATGTGGCTGCCGAAAACATGGTATAAAATGCACAAATTTATGCTCAAATTGTCATGGTTCTGAACAATGCGCCAATGTGGAAAAAATAAATATACGAGGAAGTTTATGATTCAGATGAAATTGCGGATGAAGAACCAATGCAGACTGAAAATAATGTTGGAGACGAAGGCGATGATGGTCTTGAAGATGTCGAAGATCTACTAGAATCAGAAAGGCCTGTCGAATCTAACGATCAAGAAATACCATCAAAAAGACAGAAACTGATAAATAAGTGATTCGAATTGAATACCATGTTTTGATAAATACAAAGATTAATGATTTTAAAAATAATAAAATGTGTAATGTAATCATTAAAAAATATCTATACTCAATAGTACGATTTACGTGTATATTTCTATCTAATGAGAATTTCTAATAGATAAATGTAATGAAAATTTAATAAATAAACTTTTATTACTGAAAAAAATAGCAGTAGTCACATTTTTTTAATAAAATCCCCTTTAAATCGTATTTTTAATATTTACAACAACTATGTTTTTGCGATATTTATGTATAATTGGTTTGTATTTTATTTTGTTTATTAATCGAACACGGAACCTAACGTTTTTCGAGTAATTAAAGTATTTTTTTATTTTTTAATGAATACCTCAAAATTGTACATAAAGATTTAAAAAAAATTCGAATTTTTGTATTTTTTCGTTTTTTTGCATTTTCTGAAATTTTTTTCAAAAATATTTTTTATACCATCAGAAAAAAAACGAACAAAACCCACCGACTATATTGAAAGTCAGATATTTTGACGTGAGAATTTTCGATTGAAAATTAGGGTGCTTTTTCGATATCGAGTCAAAATAGGGTGAAAAAAATTAATATATTAAATCTTCAAAATTCCAATATGTTTGGGACATAAAGAGGTAAGTTTTCACCAAATATCATGAAAAAAAAAACAATTTTTTTGTAAAAGATAAAAATAAAAAATAAAAAATGTCGTTTTTTGGATTTTTCACATGAATTTGGTTATGGAGAAAAACTACGGATACAAAAGGTGTAGATCTTTTTTATTATCTAAAACTTTGCCATTGAACTTTTTTCGATAGGACTTGTAGTTTTGCCGGAAATCGAGATTTACCGATTTTTACCCTTAAAAAATCCCCCCCCCCTTCCCCTTCCCAACCTCAGATCGCCCGTAATTTATTTTTCCTATTATTTTAGTGGTATTCACTTCCTTTTCCAATAGGTTTCATCCTACTTTAATTTTTTTTTTCGTTTCTAAAATTATCGACCCTGGTCTATAAACAAACTATGCCATAATGCTATTCTAGTTAATTATCGCATTTTATGACTAAGCAACTTGAACCTAATTATAGAGATTACGTCTCAACAACTTTCGATTTTTTCATACACGAATAATAGCGATTTGTATTTTTTTTTTACGCATTACTGCAGCAGCAAAAATGATTGTGAAACTGGCGTTTCAAAGAAAGACTTATAGTATAAGCATAGCATAAACACTCACGCCTGTCACCCAGAGGGGTAGGCAGAGACTACAGACTTCCATTTGGCACGATCCTGACACACCTCTCTCGCCTCCTTCACATCCATACACCTACGCATACATGCTCGTCGGTTAAGGGTACTCCTAATTTGGCCCGTTTTCAATAAATTTGGTCGATAAATTTTCGCCTAGTACGTCCCTTTCCAACTCTGCCATTCACTTCTGCAACATAAATTTTCTTTGTCACTCTTTCCTCATTCATTCTTTCCACGTGACCAAACCACCGAAGCATTCCTTTCTTAATCCTGGTCACAACATCATCTTGCAAACCACACTCTTCTCTTATTACACAATTTCTTACCCTGTCATTCAGATTCAGCCCTAACACCCCCTCTAATCCTTAACGACCGCATTTCTACGCTTTTGATTCTACTCTCGTGCTTCTTCTGCCACACCCAACTTTGACTACCATACGTTAAAGTAGGGAACAACACAGCATTGTGAATTGCCATACGTGCCTTTTCCGACACATTTTGACTCTTCACAATAGAGTGCAGAGCCCCATTTACTCTATTTCCCGCATTCACTCGTCGTTCTATATCCTTATCATATCTCCCGTCCCTGCTAAATACGCAGCCCAAATATACAAACTCATCTACTTACTCGATCAACTCCCCTTCTATTCTTATTTCACAAATCGTTTTACTTTCTTCTCTTTCAAAAACCATAACCTTCGTCTTACTTGCGTTTACTTTCATACCCCTTTCTTTTAATGATCTGTTCATTAATGTAACCATCATTTGCAACTCGGCTGCCGACGACGCAAGAATAACTTGATCATCGGCGTAAAAAAGGCATTTGACGGTTAACTCACCCATTCTTAATCCGCATTCTTCAACTTTCAAATTTTGCAAACAACTGTCCATAAATAGGTTGAACAGCCACGGGGAAGCCACACAGCCCCGTCTGACACCTTTATGGATGTCAAACCAGTCCGAGTAGACCCCGTTGATCCTAACACAAGCACTAGAGTCCCTATAAAGAGACTCCAATACCCGTATCAAGCCAGCGCTCAAACCAAATGTGTTCAGTGTTTGCCATAGCACATCCCTATCCACTCTGTCATAGGCCCTTTCCAAGTCCATGTACGCACAAAAAACCTTTTGGTTTTTGGCCAAAAAACTTCTCCGCGATCATGCGCATGGAAAAGACTTGATCTGTACATCCCATTCCCTTTCTAAATCCCGCTTGCACTTCTCAAATTTTTCCATCAGTTTCTTTCATGACCCTTTCAATCAGTACCTTAGCATACAGTTTTCCGATAATGCTAAGAAGGCCCATGCCACGGTAGTTTTTACAGTCCTGCTGCGACCTTTTTCTTTTATATACTGGGACTATCACGGCTTTGCACCAGTCTACCGGTACCCGCTTCAGTTCCCAGCATAAATTAAACAAGTTGTGCAGCAGGTCTGCCACCACTTCCTCTCTAGCCCTTAGCATTTCGAGTGAAACTCTACATATCCGGCAGCCTTACCTGCTTTCATGCTTTTCATTGCTTTCATAATTTCATCTATACTTATCTCGCTACCTCTTTCCTCTTCTTTCGGAGTTTCTACTTCACTTAGTACACACGTTGTCTCCTCACTCATAAACACGCTTTCAAAATATTCATTCCATCTCTTTAAACTCAAAACTTCATCATTCAGAATATAGCCATTCTCGTCTCTTATAGCATTCATCATAGGCTGTTTTGAATGTCCCCTGGCAGTTCTTACAAGTTTCCAGAACATTTTAATATTTGCCTGGAAGTTATCCGATATTCTTCTATCATTCCTATCCGTTCTTTCTTGCTTTTTTCTTTCAACTACTTCTTTTACTCTCTTATTTAGATGTCTAAAGACTCCCTTTTTTCTTTCAATATCATAATTCGTACCGCTAGAGTTACCTGTCTTTGTTGCTAGTAAATCTAGCCATGATCTCTTCTTTGCTTCATCTTCCATACCTATCTCATCATACCACCATAACGTATTATTTTTCCTTTCATTCTTTCTCTTACTAACACCACATACTTCGGTAGCTGCATCCACTAAACCTTTCTTTACATTTTGCCATACATTCTCCAAGTCTAACTCCTTCATACATAATTCATCCAAACCACTTATAATTTCTTTCAGTCTACATTTGAACTTGTTTTTCTCACCTTCATCTTGTAACCTTTCTGTTCTAATACGCTGTAACGCAGTGGTAGACACAGATGATCGATGGCGCCAACGCCTGAATAGACCATTAATTCGGCATAAAACCAAATAATGATCCGTTCCTACGTTAGAACCCCGGTAAACCCTTGTATCTACTACTGCGCCCCTCAATCTTTCATCCACAATTATGAAATCTATCATGCTTCTATCGTCACCTCTTTCCCAGTATACAGTACTCTGCGACGTATTCGTCACAAAAAGATTATTTTCCATACATACGGTGAGGAGACTTTCACCATTCTCATTTATACTTTCATCACGAAACGTTCCCAATATCCTTTCCTAACCAAGCCTCCTCACCCCAACCCTTCCATTAAAATCTCCTAGTAAAATAATATTTTAATTTCCCTTACACTTCATTAACACCATCCTTACCATTTCCCAAAACTGCTCTCGGATATAAGTGGGCTTAGACATGTCTGGGGCGTAGACTTCTAACACAAACAACTTCTTTAAGAAGCGCGCCGGCGCCGGGAACTCGGGGCCATTTCTTTTCTTTGGTTCCTCATGGTGCAAAATATGGGGTAGTATATTTTACGCCGCTACCACAGCATGGAGCCGAGTCTGTGCTCTCGGCTTGCCGCTCGTTTAGCACCACCCGGGGGACACGTGTAGGGTGGGCCTAGGAATAGGTGGTCAAAGCCTACGGACACGAGCGACTTATCCCCCCGAGCGATAGAGAAAAGAGCGAAGAAAGAGTTATGTATGTAAGAGGAATGATAATACATTAATTGAAAATCGATGATATTTAATTTTCATATTTTTTCGGTATCATACGCGCATCAACCTCTGTAACTTAACTGTACTATGCTTATAACCTTTGCGCAAGTAGAAGTATTAAGCCGTCAAAGTTTTACCGCAATCTTATGAACGGTATGGCAGCAATATACGAATAAACAAATATTATTTTTATATATTAGATATAGCATTTGTAAACATTCAGGAATATTAGTTTATTGCACTACCACCTAACTTCTATAAGCAAATGAGTGAACATTACAGGACTACTGCAAACTTTTTAATGAGAGTGTAATGAAATTCCTCTTCACTAAAAGTACCAAAACAAACACATGTACTAAAAAGATGGTTTAGATTTGTATACATGGCGTGTAAGATTCTAATCTCTTTCACATTTATTCCATTGCGTACATGTAATTGCGATGTATTGTGATTACACGAAATGTAATTTCAAAATTGTAAAGTTTATCTGTAATAAATACAAACTAATGATTTGATTTTGCTCAGCTCAACCAATCTGGGTATTTTACTCTTTAACTCTAGGAGAATAAAATAACAATACGCCGAAAAACTGACTAACTTAAAACGAAATTTAAAACCCCCACGAACAGAAAACGACTTATAACAAGATTGATCTTTGAACCACATTGTATAATTTATTATTTACGGCTAGCACGTGCAGGAACGTAGAGTAAAACGGAGTTTCCAATTCAATACCCGCTACTTTTAAATTCCGACTTTTGGGCTTATTGATGTTCAAAGTCAACATTAATAAAGCTCAAGATCAGATGACGTCAAACTCCCCAGTCTGTGATAATTATGAATAAACATGAACATCGCACTTAAATAAAAAAAGTTTAATTAAATGCGACAAAATACGTAAAAATAATTTTACTCAATGTGTAGTGTTTCCGTTAATTTGTTAGAGTTAACCTCATGAATGAATGAATGAATGAATGAATATACTTTATTGTACACCACAAACAAATTTACAAAGTACATAACAGAGAGCAGATTACATGTACAATTTGGCGGCCTTATCGCTACATAGCGATCTCTTCCAGGCAACCAAAGGTGTAAAGGAATAAAACAGTGAATACTAGGTAGGTAGTGCAATATAAATATACCTCATATAATATCGGTACATGCAATAAAATAACATGTAAATAACTAATACTAACTAATACATTAAAAAATATGATACACATATACATACGTATATACATAAACATACACACACACACAATATATATATATATATATATATATATATATATATATATATATATATAATTTCTTTGCTTTCTAACTAGCTTGGCAAACAATGTACTCATAATATGCAAAAATCAAAGGTTTAAAACTGTGATAAGAAGAGAATATTTATAAAATACAACAAGATTTTCCTCTTTTAACATATTATATGAAATCCAATGTAATTTCACATAAGTTTCACATTTATTAAATGATGACAAAAAATTTACTTGATTCAAATAACAATAATTGACTTATTATATACATGGATCAAGAAACGCTTGATAATAATACAAATATCTAATAATTTAATAATAGACAGAACTAAAATTAGATCGTACGTGCTGGCGACATATGGCATGTCCAGAAAAATAAATTGTATAAATGGAATTTTTATGTTACTGCCAGATGTTCAAGAGATCCTCTCAGAAAGTAAGCGTTAAAATTTATGTATTTAAAAAAAGGGTACAATTTCTTTGTTTTGTATTATATAATCAAAATATTCTTACTTTTTTATTATTTTATAGTAAGCAAACATCCTAGTCCGGCCATAAGTTCTGTTAATAATAATAATAATAGTCTGGAGCTGGCGCTGGACGCGACAGCCTGCGAACGGCCAGCCGAACGCGAGGTGCTGCACGACCACCCAGCAGCCCCTCGGATCCATCATGCCCACCAGCTGGCTGGGTGTCGGCAGCGATCGGCACCCGCCACTGGTGGAGTACGCCACATGCGTTGGACAAACCAGATGAACAGCACCGCATTGCGGGCGTATTTTAGGGCGAAAGGGGAAGAAATTGGAGGTTTTGCGTATCGGGCAAGGACCCATCGACTTTTTGCTGAGCTGGAACCATCTGTAACCGTCACTCAGCAAAACCTGGCACACCGAGTTCGGTATATCTTGCGCTCAAATACATTTGATGTCACCGAACTCGAACGGCTACGACGTGAGGCTATTCCTTCATCGGGTGAAAATGCTGCGGCTGAGGATGCGGCGCCACAACTTGCTGAGCAAACGGCAAACGTCGATGCCGCCGTGAATACCCCAGTTGTGCTTGATTCAAACGATGATGTAACAGTCGCCCAGGAGCTGGAACTAGAGCAAATGAGGAGTACATTGGAAGACGCGATTGTGGAAACGCGCAGTACGCCTCTCAAAAATCGACAGCGACTTCCCTACTAGGCCCTAAGCAAGCGGAATCGGGCTGTCGTGAGGGCTCTGAACCCAATTCTGGTTACCTATTATTAGGAACCCAGCCGGGACCTTTGCGAGACGGACTCAATTCTTTTTGGCACCGCACTAGCAGTCTGCCGTATTATAGGCGCCAAACTTTTCACGGCTGGACGCGCTACAGGACAAAGTAGGGCTATCCCAGGCTGGAGAATAAGAATTAAAGAACGTATCGCAAAGGCTAGAGCCCTCATAGGCAGACTGATATGCTTCAGATCAGGCAATACCAGGATTGTGCGCACCGACAAGATGACGTTTGCTGGGACAAATGTTAGTTTGTCCCAGCCAGATATAACGGGCATCGGATTCACGGGTCTACTGTTAGACATAGGCCACTCACAAGAATAGCAGGGTCCTGAGCTACCTGCACTTATAAACTTTAGTTTTAACATTTACATGTTGGTTATTTCAAGAGAGAGGCCACCCTAAATTTCACTAACCGTTACGAGACTGCCACTGCTGAACCAATCTTCTCCGTCGGTTGTCGAATTGTCGAGTTATTTTTCCAGCAATGCCGCTTCAGTCTACTAATTCTTTGAACTATATTGGTTACTCGATTCTCATCGATACAGATTCTATCATTCTAACATACAGAAACTCTAAGCATAGTTCTCTATATAGTAGACTTTCTTACTCGCCTTAAATTATTAGTGGTTAAGTTATTACATGAATTTAATACTGTAAATTTTTGTGTATAGTAAACTCCTTAACCAATTCAGATTGATTGATTGATTGACGAAGTAACAAAATTTAATTTCGCACGTTCCATTTGTTATTGCTGGTCCACTTCTTTAAATACCCTGGATGAAAAACACCCATACTTTAATTATCTTACTGTCTAAATATCCTGATAAAACAAAAGCTGTAAGGAAACTGCTTAACATACGTGGTCATATTACAAAAATAAGTTTTTAATTACTCTTAGGTTTGAATTAGAACCTGTTTCATGAAAAAAGTCCCGTAAAAATATACGAACCAAATGTAAAGTACGGATTTTGATAGCAAATATCTAGTTTCATGAGGACTGTGGCATCGCGGCCAAGGGACTTCTTTAGTTAGAAGCACTTCTTGAACCATAGTTGTAACTGGAAATTATCAGTACACCATTTTTTGTAATAATACGGACGATGTTTTTTATTATAAGTAGACTAGAGGTGCACCATTGCACGGTCGTGCATGGCCGCTACCTGACAGATACAAAACGGTAACTACTGTATTGTTTTGTGTATTCATAAGAATTTTATGCTTTATGCGGGAATTTGGGCCAGTTCGCTGAAATTCCTAGTCTGTTGCATATAATTCCTAAAAAAAATACGTGTGGTACTCGGTGACTGCCGAGGTAAAGCTATTGCATAGCATTTTTTATCAACTTATGCAATTATAATTATTTATTTATTTTATTTATGCAGTTAAGTCTTTGATATTAAATCAAGTTACACTTTTTGAGCGTGGTGACCGATAAGAAAACAATTTTTTTCTCTTATTGAATAAATGAGAAGTTAATATTGTCCAAAATATTTTTAATATCTTACAATACATGTAGGTTATTCAGGAATTTTTATCATTGAGTTAGCAGCTAGTATACACGCATACGTCTAGTCGCACGCACACAAACACCGTGCCGAACTCTGCCGAGTGCCGAAGTCTGCCGATAGACGGGCGAGCAAGTACGCGTACTTATGCCTCGACGACCTTTTTCGCTCGTGTGTCACCGTAAGTACGCGTACTTTAAAACCGCCGAGTAAGTTCGTCGGCGATCCAACCGGTTTGAAATCTTACTCGTAGCTCGTCTTGGCTCGTACGTGTGGCAGCACTGCGAGCCGCGAGCCGCCATTTTGTTTCGCCAGTCCGTGGACTCGCACGCTTGTTTAAATTGCAATTTTTGTTAATTTTGATTCAGAAATTTCTCAAAATGTGTGATTTTCAAACTTATTCGTATGAACTGCTAACCGAATTTATAGAAGCTTTCCGAAATAACCCTTGTCTTTGGAAAATTAGAAGCAACGACTACAAAGACAAAAATTTGAAGCTTCAAGCATACAATAATTTATTAGAAATTATACGGAAGGTAGAAAGAGATGCTACGATTGAGAACGTCTAGAAAAAATTTATTCATTAAGGGCTGGGTTCCGAAAAGAACATAAAAAAGTGCAAGATAGCAAGAAGACAGGTTCAGGAACTGACCAGGTATACGTGCCAAAATTATGGTATTATAGTCAGCTTGAATTTCTCAAAGATCAAGGCCAAGGTAAGTTTAATTATTTATTAAAGAATTTCTCTATACACTATTATATTATACGTGCGTATTCTTTGTTATGCCTGTGACTAAATTAGGTAGGTACCTAAAATAGAGTACCTATTATAACACTTTGTTTCATTACAATAATGACATTGTGATGTTGAACATTAAAACCATAAGTAAATTTAGAGGTTTTTTATTTAATTACAGGTGAACAATCAACTGACAATATAGACAGCAGCGAACAGGAGACAGCTAATGATAATGAAAATACATTTGATGCTGAACATAGTGAAAATGATACCCAGGTAAAAATACTATTATTATATCATTCTTTGTTGCCATGACACTGCACCACTAGTATTAAAGTAGGTTTCATACTTTTCTCTGCTAATTTTTGCATTTTGAGTGGGGTGACGACTACCTATGTGTTTGTTGTAGTGACTGTAATTCTCCATTTTGTGGTCTCAGCCCCAATTCAATAGTTCCATTTTCGTGAATTTCACTATCTAAGTGCTGATGTGGACTGTAAGCTTGTCTTAATTTTTTCCTAAAAAATTGTGCAATACACAACATGCCAAAACTATTTTGTTAATATTGTGCACACTGGTATTTATAGACGATCGAAAAAAGTGGAATCTTGCCGCCAGAATTCCCAAAACATTTTCTATAATTCTTCTAGCCCTGCATACTCTATAATTTTATATCCTCTTACTTGAGCTAGCCTGTGATTGCCTTTGTGGGTACGGTTTCATAAAATCTGTCCTCAAAGCAAAAGCCTCGTCGCCAATAAATACATAAGGCAATTCTTCTGAATGACCGCTTGGTTTTCTGGGGCTAGGAAGATTTAAGCGCTTGGAATTCAATATTTGAAAGAATGTAGTTTTTTGTAATACACCTCCATCAGAAATACGTCCATTTGTTCCAATATCTACATAAATAAATTCATAATTTGCATTTGCAATTCCCATATGTACAATACTATGATACCCTTTATAATTAAAAAAATGGGAGCTGGCTCCGGCAGGAGGGACTATAGCTACATGTTTCCCATCGACGGCTCCTAAACAATTTGAAAATTGCTATGTACGCTCAAACTCTTCAGCAATTGCTAGCCATTCTTCTTCTGAACTCGGGAACTGTAACAAAAAAAAAACATAATTCAGTATAAATGATATCATTTTTATTTACAGAGTACCATTTGCAACGTGTCATCACCTGTGACACCTGCAACATCTGTTGCTTCATCTGCAAGTCGTAAGCGACACGGCAATGCCGCCATTGAAGACACAATATCGTTAATAGGTAAAAGATTACAAAACCCAGATGATGAATATGATGCTATAGGAAAAAATGTCGCAATTAAACTCCGCAACATGACTGCTATTCAACAAGGCATAGCTGAAAAGCTCATCAATGAAGTTATTTTTTTGGGACGGTTTGAAAAATTAACATTCAATACAAGTATACATAATCCAGTTCCAGTCTAGGTACCCCAAAGGCCATTGATACACATGCAGCTGTTCCAGTCCAGCTGCAAGAAACACAAGCATTTAACTTGACACAAGACTCGCAAACTATTAGTATCCCGGACACCCTGGTTGAATATTTAAACTTTAATAATAATAACTAAAAATAAATAAAATAGTACGTTACATTTGTATACGTTCAAGAGTAAATTTATTTGTTAAGCATTAATGTTAATGTGCCATTGCAAAATAAAGTCTGATTATTTGTACCGAGTTATTTTATTTATAAAGTATGTATTAAATGATACATACCTTCAAATATGTTTTCAGTGCAGAGTAGATTGCGTCACATGTCTCAGAAATTATGTACCCCAATGACTGTCTTGATATCGCTGACGAATACATTACATCTTTATATGTTCCACCAGTTATCAAAAATCGTAATGTTGCACTTAAACGTTCATGCGGTGAAATAGCTTCTCTCATGCAAGTATCCTGTTTAGCTATAATTGGTGTGACGAAACACAAAAGTTCTTCATACACTCAGCTCAGGCATTCTGAAATAATTCTGAAAATCTTCCTTCTCTTCACGTAACTCTCCTTGAACTTGTAAGCCAGTTCTTAACCCACACTTTTCGCCTTCGTCTATTGTTTTTAGTTTTTGAAATGTAATACGATATAATTCCTAAATAACACAAAGCTTCTTCAGTGGACGACATCGCGATACGGTATGAGTAAGTTGGCGCGTGTGTCGCCGACGTCGAGCCAAGTAAGTTCTCGATCTTAAAAACCGCCTACTTTAAGTTCGTACGTCTATCACCCACTTTAGACGATGCACGGCTTTCAACGCCACACCTCTCTGCCCGTCGGAGTGGGGAGCGTGAGGTTTTTTTTCGTTACGGAATTTCTGGATTCGGTCCCCGCGCTCAAGGCCCGCGATAGAAGCTATGCAATAGCTTAAAAATATATCGCCTGGAGTTACTGTGACCGACGCTAGGTGGTTAAGGGTTAAGGATACTTAGATTACATAAATAATAATTTTTCCATTTTATGATAGTTTTTTAAGTTTGAACTGTTTTTGTGTATATAAGGTAATGTAACATAAAATATTATATAGATGCGTAGATATTAGGTAAGAACTGTAAATTTTTTAAAGAAATTAGTTCACGTTTAATGTTTGACATTATGTAGAACTACTTAAACATATTAAGTATAACAATGTCTGGTCCGCTTACAAGCATAAC